CAAAGCCTGGCAAGAAGTGACTCAAAGAACCCTGATCTCTGGCTGGAGAAAATTGTGGCCTGAAGGTGTGAGAGAACTAGACTTTGAGGGGTTTGAGCCTATAAATGATGCGCCTATTGTTGAGGAAATTGTTAGTCTAGGCCAGAAAATGGGCTTGGAATTGGATGGTGATGATGTGGAGGAGTTGGTGGAAGAACACAACGAAGAACTGACCACCGAAGAACTCCTAGCCCTTCAACAGGAACAGGAAGCCAACACAGCAGCGAATGATTCTGCAGTGGAGGAGGAGGTGGTGGCAACAGCACCAGCGAATGTCCCTTCTGCAGTAATGAGGAAGGTGTGTCAGATGTGGGAAGAGATTCAAACAACTATTGAACACACTCACCCAGACAAAACTGTAGTAGGCCGTTGTCTTAATCTTTTCAATGACACTGTGATGCCTTACTACAGAGAGAGCTTGCGAAGAAGGGAAAAGCAAGCTTTCATGGACAAATATTTGGTGAAGAAATCGAGCAGTGAACCTCAACCAGGACCTAGTGGCACTCAGGTTAAACGTCCCAGGGAGAGCACACCAGAAAGGTCCTCACTGCCTGATGTGATTATGGAAGGGGACTCCCCTTCCAAACACTAACTCCTCTCCTCCTCCCCCCTCCTCACCATCTTCCATACGCCTACAGCACTCGACAGTAAGGTAAGTAATAACTGGAACATACTTTTGTAGGTTTATTTAGATGAATTAGGTATAAAAATTTAGTTTGATGTGGGGTTTTTGGGGTAGTCAGGAACGGATTAATTCATTTCCCTTTATTTCTTATGGGGAAATTAACTTCGGAATGCGAGTTTTCGGAAGGCGAGGCGTCTCCAGGAACGGATTAAAATCGTATTCTGAGGTATGCCTGTATTTGCGAAGGTGAATTTTCTTATATTTCTTCGGCATCTGTGTTTAGCTAGTTTAAATCTATGACCTCTTGTTCTTGAAGTTCCAGGTCTCAGGAAGTCTTCCCTGTCGATTTTATCAATTCCTGTTACTATTTTGTACGTAGTGATCATATCACCTCTTTTTCTTCTGTCTTCTAGTTTTGGCATATTTAATGCTTCTAACCTCTCCTCGTAGCTCTTGCCCTTCAGTTCTGGGAGCCACTTAGTAGCATGTCTTTGCACCTTTTCCAGTTTGTTAATGTGCTTCTTAAGATATGGGCACCACACAACAGCTGCATATTCTAGCTTTGGCCTAACAAAAGTCATGAACAATTTCTTTAGTATATCGCCATCCATGTATTTAAATGCAATTCTGAAGTTAGAAAGCATTGCATAGGCTCCTTGCACAATATTCTTTATGTGGTCCTCAGGTGATAGTTTTCTATCTAGAACCACTCCTAGATCTCTTTCTTTATCAGAATTCTTTAAAGATTTCTCACATAATATATAGGTTGTGTGGGGTCTATGTTCTCCTATTCCACATTCCATAACATGACATTTATTAACATTAAATTCCATTTGCCAAGTGGTGCTCCATATACTTATTTTGTCCAGGTCTTCTTGAAGGGCATGACAGTCATCTAAATTTCTTATCCTTCCTATTATCTTAGCATCATCAGCAAACATGTTCATATAATTCTGTATACCAACTGGTAGATCATTTATGTAGACAATAAACATCACTGGTGCAAGAACTGAACCCTGTGGTACTCCACTTGTGACATTTCTCCATTCCGATACATTGCCTCTGATTACTGCCCTCATTTTTCTATCAGTCAGAAAATTTATCATCCATGTTAGAAGCTTACCTGTCACCCCTCCAATATTTTCCAGTTTCCAGAACAACCTCTTATGTGGAACTCTGTCGAAAGCCTTTTTTAGGTCCAGATAGATGCAGTCAACCCAACCATCTCTTTCCTGTAATATCTCTGTGGCTCGATCATAGAAACTGAGTAAATTTGATACACAGGATCTTCCAGATCGAAAACCATACTGTCTGTCTGATATTATATCATTTCTCTCCAGGTGTTCTACCCATTTAGTTTTAATTAGTTTTTCAATACTTTGACTATTACACTTGTCAATGATACAGGTCTATAATTGAGGGGGTCTTCCCTGCTGCCATTTTTGTAGATTGGAACTATGTTAGCCTGTTTCCACACGTCTGCTACGACTCCTGTACACAGGGATGCCTGAAAAATCAGGTGAATTGGAATGCTGAGCTCAGATGCACATTCTCTCAGAACCCATGGTGAAACTCCATCTGGGCCAACTGCTTTGTTCTTACTTAGCTCCTTGAGCATATTTTCCACTTCATCTCTTAGACACCTCTATGTGCTCTATGTTGTTCTCTGGGATTCTTATTGTGTCTGGTTCTCTGAAGATTTCATTTTGTACAAACACACTTTGGAACTTTTTGTTTAATGTTTCACACATTTCCTTTTCATTTTCCGTGAATCTGTTTCCCATTTTCAACCTCTGGATATTATCCTTTACCTGCAATTTGTTGTTTATGAATTTGTAGAATAGGCCTGGTTCTGTTTTACATTTATCCGCTATCCCCTTTTCAAAATTTCTTTCTGCCTCTCTCCTTACTGCCGAATAGTTGTTTCTCGCATCTTTGTATCGCTGGTATGTTTGAGGGTTTGGCCTCTTCCTATACTGATTCCATTTTTGTGTCTTTTGGTCTCTTGCCCTTTCACAATTTCTGTCGAACCAATCCTGCTTTCTGGCCCTGCACCTCTGTTTTGGTATGAATGTTTGTGTGCTTTCCTCGTATATTTTTAAAAATTTGGCATACATTTCATTTACTTCCCTGCCTAGCAACAATTCTGTCCAATTACACTCATTAAAAAAATTTTGAAGTTCCCCATAGTGTCCTCTCCTTAAATCGAGTTTATCAACTGTTTCAATGTCCCCATTTTCTTCTAGATGATATCTCAAAGCATAATCAATGTCTAACAGGACGTGATCACTCTTTCCCAAGGGAGGAAGGTACTGGATGTCAAATATCTCTTCTTCTTTCCTGGTGAATACTAGATCCAGTACTGACGGTACATCTCCTTCCCTCATTCTTGTGGCCTGCTTTATGTGTTGATACAAGAATGTCTCCAGAATGAGGTTCACAAATCTGCATGTCCAAAAGTCCTCCGTTCTTGCTTCATAGGCCTCCCAGTCTATTGCTTTAAAGTTGAAGTCCCCCAGTATCAACAGTCGTGATTTATCTTTATCTGCTTGTGCAATAATATCTCTCATGACCATTATGAGGCCCTCTCGTTTGTCATCTAGTTCTTCCTTTGTCCATGTGTTGCTTGCTGGTGGGCTGTAGGCATTTAAAATTATCAGCTTATCATCCTGATTCCAGACCTGCAATGCCATTATGTCAATATCTCGAGGGTTTTCAAATATTAACTCTCTTACCTTCAGGTGTTTTTTCACCAGTACAGCCACTCCTCCTCCCTTCCTAGTTTTCCTGTCACGTCTCCAAACTGAATAGCCTCTTGGGAATATGACTTCATTTATTATATTTCCTTCAAGTTTCGTCTCTGATAATGCGACAATATCTGGGACCCTAAGCTGGATTATATCTTGCAACTCCAAAGTTTTTGACCTCACTCCATCTATGTTGGTATATACAATTTTCAAGAACATGTTCCCTTTTCCTTTGCTCTTTACTCCCCCTTCCACTACTGATCTTGTTGCTTTGTTTTTATGTACCATTTCACAAGCTTTCCAGTCCCTGTCACTTTGTAAAAAAAAAGAATTTCTGTCTTCTTCATTTCTATCCCCATTTAGACGTTTTGCCTCAATTAGGTTCATTTTCAGCTTTTCTGTCTTCCTTGGAGAGGTCTTGTCTTATTGACCAAAGTTTGCCAACCTCATCACTCTGCAATTTCCTGGCATTTCTTAGCACATCCATCATGTTTTTCACTCCATTAAACGTCACCCTTAAGGGGCGGTTCTTTTCTTTCTCATATTTTCCTATTCTTCTAAAATCACTGACATTTTCCTTTGAGCCTTCTCCTAAACCTTGCCCCTCTTTTCGAACTTTTCGGGTTACGAGCCCAATTTCCTCGTAAAATCCGAATCAGGTTATGAACTTTGCCTTTGGTAATGTAGTTTGTTGATACGCGAATGACCGACCTAGCACATGGTGGCACGGCGACCACGCCTCAGTTTACCAGTGCCTCCCACCTAGTGATAATCATGCCTGAATTCTTTGTAAAGAATTTCAGTGCTTTTCTTATTTTAGGGTATTTGAACATAAAAGTAATTATTATATACCTCGCTATGTGTCCCAAGAAAGTCAGTGATAAGGATCAACCTAAGAAAATAGTTGTGAGTAGAGGCAGTTGATGATGTCCCTTCCTCATTAAGAAAATGTGTGAAATATGGGAAGAACTGCAAAGTTTTGTTGAAAAAACTCACTCAGATAAAGCTGTAGCAGACCATTGCATAGACCATTTAAATGACAATGTGATATCTCACTACAGATAGGTGTTAAAATGTAGGGGAAAAACAAGTGTCTTTAGACAGATTCTTAGTAAGACAAGCAAGTAGTGAGCCACAACCAAGTCCTAGTGGTATGCAGGCAAAATGTAGGAGAGAGTACCCCAGAGAAGTCATCACTGTCTGATGTCATAATGGAAGGGGACTTCCCTTCCAAACACTAATATAGTTAATATTTTTGGGAGTGTGGAACGGATTACAGTTTCACACGGATTAATCCACATGGATTACGGATTAAATTTACATTATTTCTTATGGGAAAATTTGCTTTAGTTTACAAATTTTCGGGTTACGAACCGTCTCTGGGAACAGATTAAATTCGTTAGCTGAGGTACCACTGTACCTATTTACCTTAAAGTTGAAGAATCTACATTTATGCACTGTGATCCCATGTTTAAACACTAAAATCCTCAATATAAATTAAACTAAAAATGATATTACAAATACTGTATAAAGATAAATTCATAAAGTTAATGAAGGTATGAAAATGATGAAATAGTCTCAGAACTAACCAGACAGGGGGCCATCTGTGCCTGTTCAAATAGGCTTGGTTTTCCGGGTGCAGTGAACGGAGTTGCTTGGTATGCTTGTGACAGACATGATTGTAATTAGTTGCCATGCAGGTCAGGCACCACTCAACTAACTGGTCAGCATTGTGCATCTGTATTGAGAAAAAATATTGATAATGGAAGTAAAGTGCTTCAGGATTCCAAAAATGACAAAAAATTTTAACAGATTTAGAGTACAGTATGTGATAGTAATATAAATTAATAAAAAACTAGCTTTGAATGTAATGAGACACCATTTTCTGGGCAAGTCCCGGAGGCTCCCCGGAGCTATCCAAGCTGAATGGATTTGCATATCTTTCTGGCATCAGTCAACGCATGGAGTTCTTGCCTACCGGGGACCACAAGCCAGAACTGTCCCCCTCTAGAGAGACACGAGGAGCAATGGCCTATAGAGACCCCCTTGTGGTTGGGAGTATTCTATGTCTGCCATCGACCGGGACAGGCTCCCAGAAAGGTAGGCGCCCCAAAACAATCCGCTATTCTGGTAAAATTATTGCGACTGAAGGCCAAACAAGTGGACAGAACTTCCCAAACGAAAATTAGCAAACTATAGCATGATGTCATCATGTCACCGCCCTGCTGTCTGCGCAACCCCCCCCCTTCTCCGGGAGGGGGAAGGGGAAGCCCCAGACCCACCTGCCGGTGACACAACCTTCAGTTCTTAGGCTGGATGTCAAAAAACGCGAAAAACACCGCCAACTGGAGGGAGGGAGGGATGCCGGGGAGCCTCCGGGACTCGCCACCCCTCCGGAAAGCAGCAGACCCAAACTTCACCCGAAAAAAGGAAACTGCATCAAATGAACAACCTATCATGAGGACCAAACGATGCAGAAAAACACGGGCGCTGGAGGAGAGCCGGCGCCCGGCATCATTGATGACATGATGATGTTATGCTAGTTTGCTAATATTCGTTTGGGGAGTTCTGTCCACTTGTTTGGCCTTCAGTCGCAATAGTTTTACCAGAATAGGGGGTCTGTTTTGGGGCGGCTACCTTTCTGGGTGCCTGTCCCGGTCAATAGCAGACACAGAATGCTCTCAACCACAGGAGGGGGGGGGGGGTCTCTATTCGCCATTGCTCCTCGTGCCTCTCTAGAGGGGGCCAGATTCTGGCTCATGGTCCCTGGTAGGCAAGAACTCCTTGCATTGACTGATGTCAGAAAGATATACATATTCATTCAGCCTGGATAGCTCCGGGGAGCCGACAGGGCTCTCCCCAGAAATATATTTTATTTTAACAATAAAATTTATGAAGATATAGCCTATGGTAATTCACAGTTTAAATCTTATGTACCATTTCAAAATCTATTTGGCAAACATTGATGGGTGAGGAAACACAGTACACTAAAGTTATTTTACAAAAGATTACCTGAAGAGGCTCGAGCAGGTAAATACAGTCTTCACTAACATCACCACCAGCCTGGATAACTCGCTGGAAGAGGTCAATGATCTCGATCTCAACCAAGGATATGAGACGCGGAAGACACAAACGGTTGCCGAGCTCTACAATGGGGAGACACTCACGAATCTTGAGTGTTGGGATAGTGTCTGTGTACAAGTACTGTAGCAAGATGTGAAAGGTTCGCTGCTTCACTCCAGGAAAGGTTATCTGAAATAAATAAAAGGAAATACCAGTTATCACAGCTATAAATACCTGAAAGTTAGGCAACTCTTGTAGGTTGCATCCTGAGGACGATCAGCCACTGGCCTAGACACACCTCAATAAGTCTAATCAGCTTTCTAGCAATTACCTTTAATATAAAAAATGAATGACCCTTCATATAGGGCACAACAACCTATGGAACAAACATTTTGTTGGAAACGAAATACTGCCCTGCTGTTCTCCAGCAAATTGGAGCACCTTTTAAAATCAAGGTTAGATCTTAATGAAATGACAACTCCTAGTGCACTTCAGCTCATTTGCAAGTAACAGAATGAGCTAGTTCAGGAAACTGTTTGAACGATAGGAAATATCTAATGCAGACTGTGTTTGTACTAATGAATGAAAACTACATATGTTTTGATCATCTATAAACAAGTAGATAAATACTAAATATGCACTGTACACATTTTAGTATGAAGAAACAAGATGAAAACTTAAAAAAAAATAGTAATAGATAAAAGAAGTGGCACTACTTACCACCTTGGCATTACTTTCTCTGAAGTCTCCTGAGAACATTGCGTGCATCATGTCACAGCGAGCCATTAGTAACGGACGGTGAGCTGCCATGGTTCCATCTTCTAGTTGGAACATCACATCAGAGAAAAGGGCGCCCTCTAAACACAACTCTTTCAATCGTCCACACAACATCTGCTTGAGGTGATAATATTTATATTACTGTATTGTTCTCTAAGGAAAACATCAAGAAACTTCTCATCACACTTTGTGCAATAAAGTATTACAAACAACATTTACAACATTTGAGAATACAAAAAATTGAATGTAAAGAAATGTGGGAAATTCAACATTTGGAAATGTTTATATTTAATTTCAAAAGTATTTATCACTAGCATTTTGCTTGGAAAAAGTTAGGCGATTGTCACATAGAATGTTTTCTTTATATTGTGCATATTTTAAAGTGCAGGAAGCATAAATAAGAAGTCTTCTGAAGTTTAAAGAATTCAGAGCACTACCTAACACTATACACAGCCTATATTAAACCATTCCTACAGTATGCAAAACCAGAATGGAACCCACTGCAAAATGAAAAAATTAGACTGAACTGTGGTCCAGAAATTCATCATAAGGCTGGAAAAAAAAAGAGAGAGAGAGCGAGAGAGAGAGAGAGAGAGAGAGAGAGAGAGAGAGAGAGAGAGAGAGAGAAAGAGAGAGAGAAAGAGAGAGAGCAAGAGAGAGAGCAAGAGAGAGAGCGAGAGAGAGAGAGAGCGAGAGCGAGAGCGAGAGCGAGAGAGAGAGAGAGAGAGAGAGAGAGAGAGAGAGAGAGAGAGCAAGAGAGAGAGCAAGAGAGAGAGCAAGAGAGAGAGCAAGAGAGAGAGCAAGAGAGAGAGCAAGAGAGAGCAAGAGAGCGAGAGAGCAAGACAACACAGCTCGTAACCACAAGACAACACAGCTCGTAACCACAAGACAGCACAACTCGTAACCACAAGACAACACAGCTCGTAACCACAAGACAACACAGCTTGTAACCACAAGACAACATAGCTTGTAACCACAAGACAACACAGCTCGTAACCACAAGACAACACAGCTCGTAACCACAAGACAACACAGCTTGTAACCACAAGACAACACAGCTCGTAACCACAAGACAACACAGCTCGTAACCACAAGACAACACAGCTTGTAACCACAAGACAACACAGCTCGTAACCACAAGACAACACAGCTCGTAACCACAAGACAGCACAGCTCGTAACCACAAGACAACACAGCTCGTAACCACAAGACAGCACAACTCGTAACCACAAGACAACACAGCTCGTAACCACAAGACAACACAGCTCGTAACCACAAGACAGCACAGCTCGTAACCACAAGACAACACAGCTCGTAACCACAAGACAGCACAGCTCGTAACCACAAGACAACACAGCTCGTAACCACAAGATAGCACAGCTCGTAACCACAAGATAACCAAACTGAGGGTAACCTTATAACCAGAATCAGAATGACTATATAACCAAGATCATCGCTATTAGAGTGCCAAACTCAAGACCACTATAATACACTTTATTGTGATCATTTCTCTATCATGTATCCTCTATCATTTCTCTATCATGTACCCCTGTATCATTTCTCAGGTAAGTTCCCCTCTGTCATTTCTCAGGTTGAAAAGAGGTACTTTTAACTTTCCAAAGAATAGGTTACTACAGTATGTGTACAGAAGCACAAATATACACACACACACACACATATCTATAAATGAAACACTAGACTCACTTGCAGGTACTGTTGAGAGAGGTCATTATTTAAAAATTCCTCTTTCTTCATCAGATTTGTAACGTACATTTGAAGCTCTGGAAGTTCCAAGAACTCAGCTGCTTGCTTAAGTTCACTCAGATCAGTGGATGGCAAGTGGCACTCTCGACAAAATATAGTACCCGTGTAGAGGAAGTGTACTAGGACACGAAGCACTGTGCCGCTAACCAGTTTACTGAGGTGTACCACAGTCTGTATGGGTACCCAAGCTGGCGTCTGCCGGGGACTGCGATCACAGCTGCTTTGTTCGCTACCTCTGTCATCCCACTGCAAAATCATATACGGTATAAGAAAATTATCCATATTTATATATAGGTATATACTGTATATGTGTCATACCTGCCAGAATGTACTACTTGGCTTAGTATGCAAGTCGTTTCCTAACTGGAATTGATTTTTCGTTATTTAAAAAACCAGCTTTGCATGTAATGAAACGCCATTTTCTGGGTGAGACCCGGAAGCTCCCTGGAGCTTATCCAGGCTGATATGCCAATGTGAGACTTTGGCATCAGTCATGCATATTGAGTTCTGTGGGCAGTGGCAGTGGCTATATTCCAATAGCTTTAGACAACCTGACCCCCAGAGACCAATGCTAACACGAAAAAAGCCAAAGAAAACACAACCCTGAACTGAAGGGGCCACAACAAACCAAGGAGGAGAGAGAAAAAGAGTCCAGTTCAAAGACCAGGATGGCTCAGGCAGTGCATGAGCAGGCCGGAGGTGAAATAACGCACGAGACAACTGACGAAATAGAGCAGACGTAACATCAATGCCGAACGCAAACAGGAGCGGCTCCACCAGCGCCGACGATACGAGGGGACAGTATCCAACAGAAGATGACGGTTTGGAAACAACCAAGAAAAGAAGGACAAAACAACCTTATCAGAGACCAAATTACACCTACGCAGTGATAGGAAAAATGGAAGGACCGCCAGGAATTTCACACTGCCGTCGAGACGAAGCACGCAGGTGGGTGATTAACAATGAAGCCACCCACGCTTCCTACAAATGGTGATAGACACGAGTCAGAAATTACAGACGTGAAGATTAGAGGAGAATAACGAACCAGCCTCAGAACGGGCTGGACCTATCTACTGAAAGTGGTGGAGCCGCGGGAAGACCCTCGGGTTCAAACACTGAGCAAACAGCTCCTGCAACCAAGGCCGGGCCGGCCACCAAGGAGCCAGAAGAACACTTCCCTGGTAAATCCACAAGTGAGCCAGGATCCAGAGCAACAGCAGAACTGGGGGGGAAGAGGAACAGGGAGCCGGTCGGCCGAGCGGACAGCACACTGGACTTGTGATCCTGTGGTCCCGGGTTCGATCCCGGGCGCCGGCGAGAAACAATGGGCAGAGTTTCTTTCACCCTATGCCCCTGTTACCTAGCAGTAAAATAGGTACCTGGGTGTTAGTCAGCTGTCACGGGCTGCTTCCTGGGGGTGGATTTCTGGTCGAGGACCGGGCCACGGGGACACTAAAGCCCCGAAAATCATCTCAAGATACCTCAAGATAACCCAAACCTCGCCCAGGCCTGTCCGATGGCATCAAACCCAACTGCCTCGCAGTCGGGTAAGGACGCCACAAATGCAGTGAGATGCTATGACCACGCCAAAGTGAAGGAGTCCACCTCTGGAGGCCCAAACATCTGGCAGAGCCAACAGAAGGCGCTGGCACCAACCATCCACTCCGTGGAAGGGAAGGAAGCGGGACAGGCCGTCTGCCAAGACCATGGACACTCCCCCCCCCCTTCCCGAACATGAGCTGCCAGGAGAGCCAAACCCCGAAAATGTGGCAGAAGAGTCACCTGAAGTGATCAGCCTCAAGCCAGGGACCGCATCGAACCTCAGCAGTACAGGGAAGGAACCACCGGGGAACAGTCCAACCGGAGCCGGATCGTCGATCCGCAAGTGACCCGAATCCTCCAGAGCAACATTCACACAGCCGTGAACTCCGGCACCGTGCTGTGAGCCTAACAGAAGGATGGATCCCATCACCTCTGGCCAGCTAGGTAGGGCTCGGGTAGGAGCCACGGCACTGAACCCTGAAACCCGAAGAGGAAGCCAGCAACGCAGCAACTGATGCAAAGCCCCCGGAGGCCAAACCCAGCGGTCACACGAGAGGCGGAAGGGAAGTCCCCGACGGAACCAGAACATACAACAAAACCCCACCCAACCCGGCGAGCAGACCATCATAGCAAAGATCAGGCTCCTGCACAACCCTCGAGCAACCGCCTCATGACCCGGGAGCCCCTCAGGAACGATGAAGGCTGGAACACAGGCGAAGAAGAGCCGCCGGAGGAAGAGTCAAGGCAGCGGTCTGAGTGTTCCACACAAGACCCAGCCAAGACCGAATCCGAGAAGGAACCAGACTGGACTTCCTCCAGGTCACCAAGAACCCAAACCCGGCAAGTTGGGAAAGAACAAAAACCCTGGCGAGCAGACACGCGGACTGGCTGGGAGCTACAATCAGTTCGTTGTCGAGGTAGGCCAGAACCTGTACATAGAACAGACATAAGCGGGCCACCACGACCTGAGTAAGGTGTGTGAAAACGCAAAGCACCGAATGGAAGACAAAGAAAATAGTAACCCTGATGCCCCGCAACAAAACCAAGCCAGTCCCAGAACTGATGATGAATTGGGACGTGCCAAGATGTGTTCGAGAGGTTCAGGGATGCCACCTAAGCACCCGGTTCCAATCGAAGATGGACCTGGGACAGAGTAGCCATCCGAAGGAGGGGCAAGTCTAGAGGGGACAAGTCCAGAATGAACTGGAGAGTTCGCGCAGTCTCGTGCCGGGACTGGAACAGGCAGGAACCCATCGAGGGAACAAGGTCGTATCGAACACGCCCAAACGAACCACTCTGACAAAAACCCGACAGAGTAAAGGAGAAGAGGCCTGTGAAAGAACCAACACACCTACAAGTACCCAAATGGCACGCAGAGTGATCCCCCCGCCGAACAGAACAGAAGGCACGAATCCGGCACCACTGGCCCACCACAACAGAAGAACCCCAAGTCTTGGCACGACTCTACGGGGAAAGCCCCCCTCACGAGCCCCCTGGAGGACAAACAAGTCCGACACAGGACAGCAATAAGACGAAGCTGCCTGCAGATACCATACACCTGCAGACTCTGCAAACAGCAACAACCAAAAAGGCAAAAAAAAAAAAATGAAGAGCCAGGGGCCCAAGCAGATTCCAGGGAAGAAGCTAGCACCGCCCGCTGACAGAATTCTGCCGACGGATACCAAGCATCCAACAAGAAAAGATGGCAGTCTGTGAACCAGGACGATCTCGAAACTTCATAATGAACCCAGTAAGGACAAAAAGATCCATACACGAAGAATGCACAGCCACTACGAAGGCGTAAGCCGGGTCACGCAGGAGGTAAACCGCAAGGGCATCTCGCACCACATGGGACTGGACGCAAGAAGCTAAAAACCTCCAGAAGACGGAACCAAAGAACCCACGGGAGCACGGAACAGAACCCAGGGAGGGGTAGAACGCCAAACCAATGCTTAAGAGGAGGGAGAGAAAGGAAAAACCACTCCTTGCAACACCAAGCCCTGCTCGAAGGATACAAAAACCCTGGCAGGGCCCAATGCGGCCCAAGGCCCTCAAGGCAACCCTTCCCCTGCCCCAGGAACCCCACTCCGAAGACCCGGAGCCGAGCCGTCCCTCCAAAGCCCCGGCCTCACAAGAAAAAGCTGGGGCAGCTAAAAAACTCTAAGGAAGGGGGGCCCACTGGTCAGACCCATACGCATCAGCAGGAGGATCAAGCTTGAATGCCTCTGCCGCCACCCCTGAAGGGGACACCCTTGAAACCACCCGAGTCTCTATCCCAACTAGATCCTGCCCTGCCTCTGAACCTGCTGATGGGTCGGAGCCGGAAGCAAGGGGGGAGGGAAACGGAAGAACAACAGAAGGGAAAGGAAGGGCGGAAGGTGCCAAAGTCAAAGTGACTCCCACCCCCAAGTCCAGTCCCTAAAACCAAAACGGGCAGTCTTGGGGCATCCGGGAAAGTAACCAACCCATCGCGTTGCAGCAACCACAACCTAGCATGCAATGCAGCTGCTGCCTGCACCCTCAGAACATGATCAGTAGGGAGGGTAAACTGGAGCACGTACCAACAATAAACATTGCATGACCCCGGGTCAAAAGAATCATAGACCCTACAGGCTGCATGGCGGAGGCACAACCGGTTAATGTCACCCTGAGACAAGGGGACAGAGCAACCATCAACCTCGCATGAAGCGAAGGGGGGACTCAAGGGTCACATCCATCAGATCACAGAGTCCCTACGTGGTTTCCCAGGGCCTTGGTAAGACGCTGAGGGAAGCCCAGGCAGGGTACTGCAAACCGGCGCCCAAAATTACCAAGCAAACTTCTAAAGCTGAATTCCCGGGACGTGTCCACTCACGGGGGTCAAGCAGGGGAATACCACCAAAAACATAGATATATATAAGAGAAGGACACTAAAGATAAATAGGGAGCAACCAACCAAAGGCAGATCCCCCCTACCAGGCAGGAAAAAACAAAACCCCGCAAGGGGAAAATGTATCTAGGCGGAACAGAGCCTGCAGCTAAAATAGGTGATAACTAGTTGTGCAATACCCTGCTCCCCTACTAGTGACAAAAACTCTGGTAGGGGCGCAGTTTGCCTCTTACAAACTCTGGTTTGCCTCCTACCCAGAGGTAAACAAAGGAAACAAGACCCCAGCTGACTCCAAGGGTGGCCAAGTACCGAGCAGTAAAAGACACAGCGGAGGTAGACCCCAAGGTGACTTGTGGAAGGTGGCTCCTAGCCTCAAGGGCAGTACTTACTGGGCACCTAGGGAAGGAAACCCTAGGCGCATGCAGCCCGAGTACCATAGAATATTACGCCTGGCTTACACACCACCTGTAGAGACAGACCACATCACAAGGCACAGAAACTGAAACCAAAGAAAGAGCCAGAGGCACACGACCTACCAATATCACATCAACCAGGAACTGATGGGTGGATTGCCAGCGTGAGAATTTGGGGCTCCCCCTTCCCCCTCCCAGGGAGGAGGGAAAGGTTGCGCAGACAGTGGTGCGGCGACGTGATGACGTCATGCTCGTTTGCTAATTTTCGTTTGGGAAGTTCTATCCATTCGTTCGGCTTTCGGTAGCAATTTTTCACCAGAATAGGGGTTTGTTTTGGGGCGCCTATCTTTCTGGACGCCAGACCCAGTCGATGGCTGACATAGAATGCTCCCAACGACACGGGGGGGGGGGGGGGGTCTATTGGCCATTGCTCCTCGTGCCTCTCTGAGGAGGGCCAGGTTCTGTCCATGGTCCTTGTAGACAAGAACTCCATGCACATTGACTGATGCCAGAAAGTCATACATATCCATATCAGTCTGGACAGCTCCAGGGAGCCAACGGGGCTTCCCCAGAAATAAACATGAATGATAGGTGACAAAGTGATGAATGTTAGAGCAAGGGGAAAAGAGTGAGAGGTTAACTGTTGTATGCAGCAAGAATAATACCTGTTCTATACTAATGGCTTGGAAGGCTGCATGATTCAGCTCCCTGTGGATGCCAGGTCGCTGGTCTTGTGGAATTGTTTGCATGCTTGATCTTCGTTTCACAGCCTCCTTTAGTCGACTGTAAGATAGTACAAGATTTTATGTAAGAAAGACACGTTCAAAAAGGATAATTATTATTCGCTTCATCTATAAATTTATTATAAAATGTTAAATATATAAATGTAAGCAGGATACCACTGTTTTCAGAAACTGTTCATATATCCCAATACAATTTGCAGGACAAAATAACATACATCACAAATTACCTAATGCTATATGAAAAAATCAAAAGGAGCTATTTGTAAGTCTTATCTATACAAACTCAGATACTACTGACCCACCAGCTGGTGAAATGAAGAAATCAGGTGATGTGTGAAGGAACAACATTGTGTGGGGAAACATCAAAAGAAAAATTATCTATTAACTGTTTATAAGAAATACTGCTTTTATCATAAGGCATCTTATAGTTTAGTGAAAGGCACTCAAGCTCCTCAACTTACCTGGCTGGCCTTGGCTGATTATGGTCACTGCCAAGAAGACATTCTGTGTCAGAGTTGAAGTTCCCCAAAGTTGTGTCACCAAATGTTCCACTCAACTGTAGGGGACAATAAATAAAATCAGATTACAGTACTGTACAGTACAGTAATTTGCTAAGCTACAGGAAATATCAGTTATAAAATCTATTAGATCTATTTATGCTTTCTGTATTTGCTGACATTTTGATCCTTCATGGATTAAAAGAAGATGCATTTTTTCTCCATCCCCCCCCTTTCTCTCTCTCTCTCTCCCTCCCTCCCTCTCTCTCTCTCCCTCCCTCCCTCTCTCTCTCCCCTCCCTCTCTCTCTCTTTCCCTCTCTTTCTCCCTCTCTCTCTCTCTCTCCCTCTCCCCTCTCACTCTTCTGGTTGATACCTGGTTGATGGGGTTCTGGGAGTTCTTCTACTCCCCAAGCCCGGCTCGAGGCCAGGCTTAACTTGTGAGAGTTTGGTCCACCAGGCTGTTGCATGGAGCGGCCCGAAGGTCCACATATCCACCACAGCCCGGTTGGTCCAGCACTCCTTGGAGGAAACAATCTAGTTTCCTCTTGAAGATGTCCATGACTGGACATTTCCCTCAACCCTCCTCTCCCCC